GTGAGGTGAGATGTACGAAAATTTATGATCTGTGTCATAACTTTTGTATCCTTGTAACAGATATTTTTGCTTTTGGTTGATTTTTTTGCGGACAAACTTTTTTTTTTTTTTTCTTTTTTTTCTTTTTATCGCGCTGAAATCCACCCTGCCACTTGCAGGTCACATTGTCTGGCTTTAGGTCTGGAAAATTCATTGACATTAGTGGCCACAAATGTGCAGCTCGGGGATGGGATATTAATGATGTTCAGTTAATTATTCATTCTGGTACTTCTGGCGCATTTACTTAATTACTTATATTATATTGAGTCAATATTATGACTTTCCTAATCTGTATGGTGATCTTTATATTTGGTTTAGTGTGAAACCTCCACGTTGTAGAAGCCTATATTCATCGTTTCTGGCCGCACAGGACGAGCAGGTACAAATGAATGCAGATAATTCAAAACAGAAAAGTTTAGGGTAATCAGATTTTGATAATGGCTGGCGTTAAAATTTTCAGGCAATACGGAGTCGCAGTTATGCTTTATGATCCAGAAGGTCAAATTATCTAAAATAGAAAGAGAATCAGGCGTGAAATTTTGAGCACATATCAGCTCCTCAGCCTGTTGACTGATTGCGAAGCTTGTTGGTGGTGATGCTGCTAAAATGATAAACCAAGTGTCCGACAGGCATTTTTTTCCCCCTTATGTGCAAATGTTATTTTATGCTGTCTTTGTTGTTAACAAATGTCATAAATGCAGTGTAATTCCTGCATTCAAGTCTGCTGCTGTCGGAACTTTTGAACAACTCTGGTTTAACAGCCGTTGAATTACTTGCAAAAGCTCTTGCCATGGCTGTTGTGAGTTCCCTGTTCTCCTAACATTTCCTCAGTCTATCTTTTTGTTGCAATTGTAATTCCCTCGTCAAACCCTTCATATTCAATATGCTTCTCTAACTTGGGAAAAAAATTGATTGTATAATGTGCAGGGTTGTACCGAGATAAAGAAAAGATCACTTCTTACTTCCATGGAGAATTATGTCACATTACTTCTTGAGATTGGAAGACCCATCTTCACACCATCGTGAGAACCTTACAGTGAACCACGCTCTTAAACTAAGACGCTTGCATGTTGTTCTAAATCAGTTCCTGATTAATATCTTAATGATTACCTAAGAATACTTGCTAAATTTTTTTGGAAAGGTCTAGATGTTTGCCTTACTGATCCTTTCATTGTTGTTTTTTTTTTTTTGGGGGGGGGGGGGTAATAGTTTTGCATATGGAATCCTCAGGAGATTTCTGCCTGAGGAGAAGGTTGAGGCAGTGAAGGGTCTTACTCTAACTGCAGATGGAAATGGCTCCGTCTTTGACGTGCCAGCTGAAGATTTAGATATATATCTTGCTGGTAAGATTCTACTTTGAGCTATGCATGTGAATTAACTTTGTAGGGGTTGATTTGGCCCTACATTTAGCTTTCATTTCGGTTGTTATTTTTCTTCTTAAGTGATGTTTACTCTTTAGGTCAGGAAAATGCTGCTAATATAAGCTTAGAAGTATTAGAAGAATTGCCACGTTTGCAAGAAAGAGACCAGTCAAGAGGGGGCAGATTTGGTGGTGGTGGTCGTGGCGGGTTTGGTAATAATAGAAGTGGCCGTGGAAACAAGTTTTCCGGTGGAAGAGGAGGTGGCAAGAATGGTGGTTTCTCAAATCAGAGGAGTGATCGGTTTTCCGGTGGTTCTTATGGTGGGAGAGGCCGTGGCGGCAATAGAGGGGGGAAGAGATGGTAAAGAAGATATGGAGCTGAGGTAGTCAAAGATGACTAATTTTTTTTCTTTTTTTCCGGCCAACGATGACTAAAATGCTTATAGCAGTAATTTTTTTCAACATAAAAATGAAAAATATTTACTTAGTTCTCTTCGTAACTCATAGGATATCATTTTTGTTCACTCTTCGCTAGAAAGAAAGCGTGAGGTTAGGTTTTTTGTCTGTAAAGCTGAGCTCATATCTGGGTAAGAGGACTACTTTCACCTTATGATAATTGTAATGACATTGTTTTGATTGAAATGCCAAGTCTACAGAAAATAAAAAGAAAGGAAATTGTACTGACTAAAATTACAGGGAACAATTTATTAATACATGATAATTATATTTATTCCCGATAATTTATTGGTTCAGTTGCGTTTTTGCCCTCTTATTGTATGTTTTCAATCATAATTCATGTTTGGAAGTCTCGCAGTAAAATAAAATAACTTACAGTTCTTGTGCTGCGACCACGAGAAAAGAACTGTTGGGGGGAAAACATGTTCACTTGTCCTGTCGTTCGTAATTTCACGAGTTCAAGAAATTTAAACTTGACGTTTATGTTCAACTTTTAATTCATCTCTATGTATGAGAGAGATTTATCCTTGCGTAGAATGGAATTATATAAACCATTGTGTTTCATGTACGAGGGGGTTGGGGTTTTACTTGTAGGCCTTAGTGTCAGTTATTATGGTTACCCGCCTGGAGTTCAAAACTGGCGAACCCAGATGTCTCAAGAACTGCCTTTCAAAATTAATAGAAGAATGCAAGAATTTCAGAGAGGCCAAACAAATCCACGCTCAGATTGTGAAGTCCCCACTGTTACCTACCGATGACCAATATTATCTCATTGCTCGTCTCCTCTTCTTTTGTGCTTTTTCGAATTGGGGTTCGTTCACTTATGCTTCTAAGGTTTTTCGGACGATAAAGCACCCGGAAATTCGTGCCTATAATATCATGCTTAGATCATACGCGGATTTGAAGGATGATGGTGAAGATAGCCACATTTGCAGGGCTTTATTGATTTATAGAGAAATGCTTCGCAATGGCATTTTACCGAATAACCTCACTTTCCCCTTCCTTTTAAAGGATTGCACTAGGAGGCTGGATGAAACTACTGGCTTAGGAATTCATGCCAAGTCACCAAGTTTGGATTTTATGATGATATTTTTGTTGGGAATTCCTTGATAAATTTGTACATGGCATGTAGGTTGTTAAATAATGCGAGGAAGCTGTTTGATGAAATGCGAGTGAGAGATATTGTCACTTGGAACTCAATGATAATGGGTTTCTGAGAAATGGAGAGCTTGACAATGCAATGGAATTGTTCACGAGGATGAGTGAGAAGAATATCATAACCTGGAACTCCATTATTACAGGGTTGGTTCAAGGTGGCCGACCAAAAGAGTCACTGCAACTTTTTCATCAAATGCAAGTTTCCAGCGAAGACACTATGGTTAAGCCAGATAAATTCACAATTGCTAGTGTCCTTTCAGCTTGTGCTCAACTTGGTTCGATAGACCATGGGCAATGGGTGCATAGTTATTTGAGAAGAAGTGGGCTAGATTGTGATGTGGTACTTGGAACAGCACTAGTGAATATGTATGGTAAGTGTGGGCATGCAGATCAAGCAGTTGAGATCTTCAAAGAAATGACTAGGAAGGATGCTTCAGCATGGACAGCAATGATTTCGGTGTTTGCCCTTCACGGCTTAGGTGAGAAGGCTTTCGATTGCTTTCTAGAGATGGAAAAAGCTGGAGTGAAGCCTAACCATGTAACATTCGTGGGGTTATTGTCTGCTTGTGCTCATTCTGGTTTGGTAGAGAAAGGTCGGTGGTGCTTTGACATGATGAAAAATGTCTACTCAATTGAACCTCAGGTTTATCACTATGCTTGCATGGTTGACATTCTTAGCCGAACCAAGCTGTTTGAGGAGGCAGAAAGGCTAATAAGAGACATGCCAATGAAGCCTGATGTTTATGTGTGGGGTTCATTACTTGGAGGATGTCAGATGCATGGGAATATAGACCTAGGAGAAAAGGTAGCTATCCATTTGATTAACTTAGAGCCTCATAATCATGCTTTCTATATGAACTTGTGTGACATATATGCCAAAGCTGGCCAGTTTGATGCAGCTAAAAGAGTGAGAAATCTAATGAAAGAAAGAGGAATCCAAAAGGAAATCCCAGGTTGTAGCATGATTGAAATATGTGGGGTGGTTCATGAATTTTCTGCAGGAGTTTCATTGAACCTTCCGACGGAAATTTTTTTGATAGTAAATGAGTTAAATAATCAGATGAAGTTACCAGGATTGTGAAAACCAGTATCTTGTGTGTATTCCATATACGTGTGTGTAAAGGGTGGATATTATATTTCCATATACCAGGATTATATATGGTGCAGCCGTCTTTATTTATTTTATTTTAATTTATTTTTTGTTGAATTAGATGAGCAAATACTAATGGCATGATATTATAAGCGGAATTCAACCGATGACTTCCAACTTCCATGGAACTTTCATGCCACTATTTCAATTTTTTCATATTTATGATATTTGTTTAATTATTTGTATGCTTACGTAACAAATTAAAGCATATATTTCTCTTATTATTTGTGTATTTCCTTCAATGACAATTTTCTTTTTAAATTATTGAGTTTTTAGCCAATTTTTAAAAATTGTTTTATTGTTAAGCCACGTGCAATTTTCTCTCACTACAATTTCGTCATATTTCATTCAAAAATTTCCTCCTCCAATTTACATTTGAAATATCACTCCCACACCCACATACTGTTATTACTATTGCTACTGTTAATGAGAAAGTATGGGATCTTTTATAAACTCCCCTCCTTAATGAAATCCACATAATGATTAAAAAATAAAAAATATTTTTCTATATATCCATATTTGGAGTTATGATTATTCAAAAATTATTAAAAAAAACAATGTACTCATCTTAAATTTTGTGTAAAATATGAGTAAATAATTTACTTGACCTGAAATTTCCTGAATATCAATATCATGACTTTGGTAGGGCCAAAAGAATCACGACCCGAAGGCTTCTAGATGCTAAATTCCTGTTTTCCTTCTTGTTTTTGTTTTTGTTTTTGCCATCCGGATGCTAAATTGAGTAAATTCGCCGTATGTAATTATTTGCGGGAAATAAAAGAAAGAAAAGCATGTAATCGATGGACCTTATTATGATTATCAATTTAGGGACCACGCCATCGCGGGTGTGCAACGGTAATCCTTATCATATTATTACTTTCGGTCCTAATTATAAGACCAGTTAACTAATTTGAGGAGATTAAAGAAAGAAGTTAGTTAGTTGTTGTCTTTTCTAAAATATTCTTACTAATCAATTATATTGGTTAGAACTACAATTATTAAAAGGACTATCTTGGAAAAAATGTATAAATATGAGAGACAACGTGGATTGGGGTCTTATATTTAGGACCAAAATAAAAGTCAAATAGAATCTTATATTAAAGAGCGGAGGTAGTACTATAAATGGTCTGTTTAGTTGAATTCAATAATGATAAAAAATATTACACTGATAATAAAAATTGCATATTTTTTTAGTAATGTTTATTTATAGGGGCTCTCTATGAATACTCAATATAAGCATGCAATCCTTTATAAAATAACTATTTTGTCCTCACTAAATTGTGAATCATCATCAAAAGCCCTACTACCGAGAAGTTTCACAGTGAAGTTGATAACCATTTTTCCAATACATCTAATCTCAAGGGATTTCATTGAAAGTTGATAAATTCCTTTTTCTTTCCCTTTTCACTGACCAACAAAACTAATAGCTCGTCAGTATCCAAATTTCATATGAATGATGCAAAAAGCCTATCAAGTTGCAAGAAATGAAAGAATAGGAACTCGAAAGCCTGGGAAACCAAAAAAAAGAAGCAAAATAACATAGGAAAAGAATTCATAAAGCGACAATTTTGAATTTGATAGTGCTGAAATACAAAGATGCATATTGTCTTAACGAAGAGAGGAGAACCATAAACAAGAACCCATAAAAAAACAAGAACAGACCGTCAATTCCATTAGCCAATCGTCCTCCATTGAGAGAGGAATGATGGAGCCGACAGCGTTGGTATCTTGAAGAAGCTTTTCTACACATTTGAGGGTTTGAATTATTACTAAGACGAAATTGATATTTTTACTATATATTAATTTTAGATAATTATTAAAAAATAACTCGTTACACCCGTCTTAGAAAACATACCAGACAGTATCCTTGTGACTAATATTACATTACATTTCCATTGCACTGCAATGCATTGACCAAACGGGTCCTAAGACTATTTTTTGGTTCCTGATTTAAGCTTTTTTTTTAATTGATATAGTAGAAGTATAAACGGTGAAAAATATACAGAAATATTATATTTTAGGAAGTATTCACTGCTATACTAAAAATTGATTAGTGTCTGAATAAGTGAAGAATTTAATTAAGATTTCTATGAATACATTCCTTGTCAAACCTAATCAATGTGGCAATTATTATTTTCAATTAAAAAGCGAAATTGCTCATATTTCGAACGATTTCAGTTTTGTCTGCCGGTGAGATTCTTCACAATAATATTCTCGCGTGATTTCCTCCCCAGAAAATTAATTCATCAATAATGAAATACTCATACTACCTCTTATCCTTAATATAAGAGTTAGTTAACTAATTTGAGTAGAATGAGAAAATTTATTAAGTTAGCGTTGTTTTCCTAAAATACTTCTACTAATCATGTGTATTAATTAGAACTATCATTTGATATAATCTTTAATACGTGCAACTAATAAAAGAACTACTTAAAAAAAAAATAAATATGAAAAAAAAAATAGATTGAGATCTTATATTTATAACTAAATTAAAAGTTAAACTAGTTTTTACATTAAAAATAGGAGTTAGTATATTTTTCTTTTGGATGAATGAGGAGGCAAAGTTTTTGTTCATCAGGTGCAATTTAGAATATACTCCTC